GAAAATCTTGTAGAGGACTTGCTCACCAAGGATGTAGCAGAACAATTTCCTTCAGAGGAACCAAAGATGGAAGTTGACCAGGAGGAAGCCAAGGAAGAGTCAACACCACACTTTCTGTCAAGAGAGAAAGGTGAGGACTCGACTGCATCGCACTTACCATCAGGTGAGATGGATGCTAACCTTGATGATACTTCAGGTCATCGGAAATCTAAGAAAAGCCGCCTGAATAAAATTCCTGATCCTCATTTTCATGAAGAAGTTCAGGATGAGGCAACCATGGAAGAGAAGACAGAGGCGGTGGAGAAAATAAAAGAGGTCAGAGAGGATGATGAAGAGAAGAAATTGGAGGCAGAAATCCAAGAATCTTTTCCATCTGAAGTAGTTGTTGAAAAGGATACAACAAAAGCTGACAATACCTATGAATTGCATACTTCACCTTTGAAGTTGCTTGGAGAGCTTACAGGAGATCCAGGTATTGGCTTTTATCAACTACGCTTCAGGGAAACTCATGCAAGATTGCTGAATCATGTTTGTTTCAGAAAAGGTGAGATTTCCCATCCTCATTATCAGTCAAGGATCAACGAGAATGATTTTGTTCGATCCATTCGAAATGTCTGTCCAGTACCTCCACCTGTTTGTTATGAACATGAACGAGGGCATGATTTGAAGAGATTCTTCATCAATGATGACCGCATCATTTATTTGGATGGCAGGTATCAGGTCGATCCAAAGGCCCTTGAAAGGGCAGGTCATGCTCGAGAAGAATTGGAGGATACGAAGAAGGAACTCAAGAATGAACTGGAAGCATATGGTCCCAAGGGACCCAGTTGGGACTTTGTCACCTTCTATGAAGAGCTGTGCAGAAGGTTCCTTAAAGGAAGAATAGAAGAACCATATGGAACTAACTTATTGGCCAGCTCAGAGTCCTTGACATTTTTATCCTGGAACTATGGCAACATGGTTCGTGGTCAGAAGTACACCACACCAAGGTTTCTCCAAGGACTTGATGGTGCAATGAAGCCACGCAAACAGAGCGCCATGTCACTTCAGAATGAGCAATTTGAGAACAACCTTTTCTTCAACATGCTCTTCTTTTTACGTGCACATGTCGTGATTCTCCAGGAAGCTCATCTTCTTGTTCCTGCCAAGGAATTTATTGAGCAAAAGAATTGGACAGTTTGTTTCAATGATTGGGAGAATCTTGCAGTGATGGCTAGATTGGCACCAGGTGGATATGTCAAGATCATTGCTGGACATGATCAAGAACTTGGTCACTGTGAACAGCGTGATGTAACTTGGGCTATCTACGAGATTTGTTTTGGAGAAACAAGGCCTCGTCAAGATTTCAAGGATGCAGACTTTGAATTTGATGACTATGGTCCAGAGGACAAGCGTGTTCCACTTACTCGAGCGAACATGCATACCATCAGAGTCTGTAATTATCATGTTGATACACACCGTGCTGTGGATGCCCACCTACTGACAGGAGAACAGACGGCACTGATGCTTTACGAGTGTTTTGTCTATGAGGTGGACATCATTTCTGGTGATGCAAATAGTTTGGCCTACAGAATGTCTGGGTACAAAAGGCAGCCAATGGCTAACTACTATTACAGCACCATGCAGCATTGGATCCGCAGGCTTTCAGAAGCTCGTGTACAAGCAGATCCTGGTATCAAAGCACCTATTCCCAGAACTTTTTACAGTTCAACTTCACAGGTCCTCAAGAAGTGTGAAGATTACTTTGACAAACTCTGGGAAGAATACTCTACTGTTGAAAGGGAAGAATACCAAGGATCAAGGCTTGGCGATACATGTTTGTCTACCATTGTTGAATGGGGTCATTCAATGAGTGAAGAGGAATATGAAAATTCCACAGTGAGCACGAAGGAGTTCATCTGTAATTTTTCAGAGAACTTTGCTATGATTGACACAGAGGTTATGTGCTCAAGGCCCACTGACGAGGATAGTCATGGTCCAATGTTTATTTCACTCAGACCAGCTTCCCTTTCATCTGGAGACAGAAGACAGTATCGCACAGCAGCAACGCTTCAAGAAGCGAACGTGCGGAGGAAGGAGAGACAAAAGCAGAATAGAAAGAAAGGAAGGCCGCCAACTTCTGATCAAGCAACTTCATCGTTTGCAGCGGCATAATTCCTGAGCGAAGGCTGAAATTTAAGGTCAAGCTTGGAAGCAAGGTATCAACTGTAACCAGAAGTATCTTCACTTCCTAGCCATCATTAAATTGCCAGGCTGAAGTTTTAATGAACTCTGGTTTGCAATGAGGAGAAACTTTTTATAAAAGAAGATACTCCTGCATTCCAGGTCTATACGCTTTAGCATGCAGATAGGTATGGACAGTTTGATGATATCTATCACAGCCGCTCTTTCTGAGATGACCTCTAATGGACAACCATTCATGGTTGATGATTAAGTCATTTCATGATTTGCAATTGTAGTGCAAGATTTTTTTTGTACATACATTTGCCGGTATCTCCTTCTTGTGTTTTGATATGAATGTGAAAGAGAGTCCTTTTGATGCAGTTTATTTTGTCTGTGAATGAAAGCGGTCGAGACCACGTCACGAGAAGATTATTCCTCGGACCGTACGCTCCTTGCATTTTGCAAGGCATCTTAATTCATTGCATTGTGCGGTCTTGAATTTTTAGTTCCTTGTTACGCGAGTGTCGTTTACTGCTTTTATAGGTCTCTGTGTAAGAAGCCGCTTTTCCTTTTTAGTTTGATTTAGCTCAGGCCCTAAAGAGCTAGTGAGCGCCGGTACATGGTATCTCCGCCAGCGAAAAGTACAGTCTCCAGCCGAGGTACATTATCGCTTTGATTTTGTACTTGAGGTGAGTCAGCTATTGCTCCCTCACTGTATTTAGTAGCTATGAGATTACCTTCTCTGAAGTGTGAAACACACCGGATTAGGTAAGTACATGGCACCGTAGTTTTCTTTTAAGTTGTCAGAGCTAGCTGGACTGTTTTAGCCTTGCAGTAGAAAAAGAGTATGCGACATACGCAATCAGCTAGAAGTGGACATGAATCTTGTGCCTGCTGAAAAGTAGAGCCTACCTGTACAGGGTTCCACTCCAACAGCTGATATAGTGTGTCCATGCTTGACTGCTTCAAGGCTCAAGAGAGGGTCAATGGACCTAAGAGGATAAGACTCTGCGTGAGCAAAAGACACTAGCGGTCTGCACCTCTACCGTGTACGCCCTAGTCACTCTTTCACCCCCCCCCCTCAACAACCAAGGCCTCCAAAATAATGTATATGAAAATCAATCAGTTGATAATTAAATAAGGAATCCTTAGCTAGCTACCTCTGGAGCTACTCTCGCAATATTAAATTAAAAGGAAATAAGAATTCCTAACTTTGAAGACCTCGGGCAATATTAAATTAAAAGGAAATAAGAATTCCTAAGTTTGAAGACCTCTGGCAATATTAAATTAAAAGGACATCTCAAATTTCTTAATAGAAATCTCCATCCAAAAGCCTCCAAAAGCATCAAATCTCAATGGAAATCTCAACTTTTCTAATAGAAATCTCCATCCAAAAGCCTCCAAAAGCATCAAATCTCAAAGGAAATCTACAAAGTTTTAATAGAAATCTCCATCCAAAAGCCTCCTAAAGCATCAAACCTCAATGGAAATCTACAACTAAAGAGCTTAGGAAAAGTAAATAAGGAATAGAGGGTGAGTAAAGCAAATCAAAAGGCAAAGAAAAGGAATAAAAATTTAAAGCCTCAAATCTCTAGACATTATTCTAGGGCCCCCCCCTAAATAATGTCAGAAAGCTGCTTGCTGGACTACCCCCTTTGCTTGAATGCAAATCAAAAGGCAAAGAAAAGGAATAAAGATTTAAAGCCTCAAATCTCTAGACATTATTCTAGGGGCCCCCCCTAAATAATGTCAGAAAGCTGCTTGCTGGACTACCCCCTTTGCTTGAATGATTTTTTTTGTTTTTCAATACTTTTAAATAAGGGATTTTATAAAGAAAGTGCGCACTGACTTTTGGAAACTTTTGGAAAGCTTCACAACTAAAGAGCTTAGGAAAAGTAAATAAGGAATAGAGGGTGAGTAAAGCAAATCAAAAGGCGAAGAAAAGGAATAAAGATTTAAAGCCTCAAATCTCTAGACATTATTCTAGGGGCCCCCCCTAAATAATGTCAGAAAGCTGCTTGCTGGACTACCCCCTTTGCTTGAATGATTTTTTTTGTTTTTTAATACTTTTAAATAAGGGATTTTATAAAGAAAGTGCGCACTGACTTTTGGAAACTTTTGGAAAGCTTCACAACTAAAGAGCTTAGGAAAAGTAAATAAGGAATAGAGGGTGAGTAAAGCAAATCAAAAGGCAAAGAAAAGGAATAAAGATTTAAAGCCTCAAATCTCTAGACATTATTCTAGGGGCCCCCCCTAAATAATGTCAGAAAGCTGCTTGCTGGACTACCCCCTTTGCTTGAATGATTTTTTTGTTTTTTAATACTTTTAAATAAGGGATCCAAAAGCCTCCAAAAGCATCAAATCTCAATGGAAATCTCAAATTTTTGAATAGAAATCTCCATCCAAAAGCCTCCAAAAGAATCAAATCTCAATGGACATCTCCAAATGTTTATATAATAGAAATCTCAATCCAAAAGCCTGTAAGATAAGCAAATCCCAGCAAATTCAAAAGGGAAAAAGTAAACTATAACAATAAAAAAAATCCACTACAACTACCCCTCCAAAAAAAAAAGACATTATTCTAGGGGCCTTTATAAATCAGTGCAGGGAAAAAAAAAGACATAATTCTAGGGGGGTTTATAAATCTGAGGGCCACATTAGCACTGCAGCACGCACCAGGTCGGCCATGCTGCTTCGAAAACCCCCCCCAACATCCATCAACCAAAAGAAGCCATGGCCCAAAAGGATTCACCTCAACTCTTTGCAACCCGTGTATTAGCCGTAGCCTTCGGTTTCCGTAGTCTTCGCACTCGGTCGGTTCCAACCATGGTCTTCAGGCGTGAAGATCGACTCCTACCTACGACCCGAAGCCTTTCTGGGCGACCTCGGCGTGGACGAGAGCCTCATGCCGCTTCGCAGAATCGACGTCTAGCTCCGAAGCGACGGGAGTGGACGGATTGGAGGTGATGCGAGGTGTCTTTTTTGGAACCCGAACCAGGCCAAAACATGAAGGAGTTTCGAGGAAAAGTGAGAAAGTAGGGGCTCCACAACTTTGTCTAACCCACCTGCTGGTGGTAGGTAAAATGTGTTCCTTCCCTAAGAGTTTGTTGGTTGAGGCGATTTGCTGGCCTGCATGAGTCCCCCCAAAGGTACTCAGAGAGGCTTGGGCACATGGGCGGTGCCCAAGGTGAGAGCGGTAGCCCAAAGAAGGACTGTACGCCTTCGATTTCGAAGGCGTTCCCAAAATCAAGAGGCCAAAGAAGGACTAAATGGCATCAAATTGCATTTTGTTCGGTTCAAGATGGTTTTAAGCTCAGAAAAGTGCTGCAGCTTGAAGTTTCTGGAGGCCAACAGGATCCGGGTTTTCATGGGGCCAGCAGCCCAAGGAGAGGGCCTCATGCAGATCATCAAAGCGCTCTTGCAGCGTAGGTGAATCACCTGCAGTAGGGAGATCAGTTGCATAGGAGATAGTAGGCAGATCTGTTGGCCTAAACGGGCTGCAGGTGATCAGTAGGGGGGGCCAGGGGATTGAAATCATGTTTTCCTGCTACGCTGCAGACTTCCGGACGGCATCCGGTTCCTGGGCGGACCATGCCGCTGCAGACGAATGGGACTGGAGGAGTGTGTGGATGGGTCATGTTCATGGGGTAGAATTTATATTATGTTGAACGATTCCAGTCCCAAGAATGGTCTGGGATGCGTTTACTATATTGTGTTTCCACATGACAGGGAGGGGGTTTCCCAGTTCATTATTATTTGGGGGGTGGGGTGAGTCCATTTGATGAGATCCCGGTGATGCTTTGACACAAGTAGCACAGTTGGGCCCAAGACTAAGCAGCACAGTTGGGCCCAAGACTAACACAATGGCTGCATTGTTCAGCGCGCATCGACCTGTTTAAGCCGCAAACCGAGTCTGGCCGCAGAAAAGCCGCAGACCAGACTCCCAGAATGGAGGCGAATGAGTTGCTCGACATGTGCACGGAGCTGGGACAAGCACATTGTGCAAGCGTTGTGCTGCCGGAGGTCAAGCGCTCGTGGTGGAAGCTGCAGGAACTTTTGAAGCTGTTCGCGCAGCAAAAGCAAGGCATCTTCGCGTTTGCCACGTTAGAAGCGGTGAGAGAAGATGGAAGCATCAAGCTGAACGCCATGCACTACACTGCTGGGATTTCATCATGTGGCCGATCAAACATGTGGCAGGAAGCACTGAGGTTGTTGGAGGTCATGCCCAGAGCAAAGGTTGAACCGAATGTGTTTAGTTACAGTGCCACCATCAGTGCCTGCGAAAAGTGTGCCCTATGGCACGAGGCATTGACATTGCTTGAAGCAATTCGCACGGCAAGGCTTCAGCCAAATGTGGTTAGCTACAGTGCAGCCATCAGTGCCTGTGAGAAGGGCGGGCAATGGCGCGAGGCATTGACATTGTTCGAGACAATGCCCCAAACTACACTTCAGCCGAACATCATTAGCTACAGTGCGGTCATCAGCGCATGCCAGAAGGGTGGACAATGGCAAGAGGCATTGACATTATTTAAGGAGATGGCCAACGTGAAGCTTCAACCAAACGTCATCAGCTACAGTGCAGCAATGAGCGCCTGCGAAACGTGTGGGCAATGGCAAGAGGCATTGGCACTATTTGAGGCAATGCCTCAAGCAAGACTTCAGCCAGATGTGATTAGCTACAATGCGGCTATCAGCGCTGGCGGGAAAGGTGGGAAGTGGAAGGATTCCTTGGCATTCTTTGGAGCTTTGCCCACTGCGAAGCTTCAAGCAAATCTGATTAGCTACAATGCAGCCATCAGTGCCTGCGAGAAGGGCAGACAATCGCAACGTGCCATATTGCTCCTTCAGGCGATGCCTAAATCAAGACTCTATCCAAATGTCATCAGCTATAATGCTGCTATTAGCGCCTGTGAGAAGCGCGGGGAATGGCAGGAGGCGTTGACATTGCTTGAGGAAATGCTCAGGGCGAAGGTTAATCCAAGTGTTATTAGCTACAGCGCAGCCATCAGTGCCTGTGAGAAGGTCGAGCAATGGCAGGAGGCTTTGTCTTTGTTTTGGGCAATGCCGAGCGCAACACTTGAACCGAATGTCATCAGTTACAGTGCAGCCATCAGTGCCTGTGACAAGGGCGGGCAATGGCAGCAAGCATTGGTGTTTCTTTGGGCAATGCCAACAGCAAAGCTTCAGGCAAATGTTGTCAGCTACAGTGCGGCTATCAGTGCATGTGAGACGGAAGGGCGCTGGCAGGAGGCATTGGCCTTGTTTGCAGCGTTGCGCCTTGCCAACCTTCAACCAAATGTGATCAGCTACAACGCGGCCATCCGTGGGTGCCAGAAGGGCAGGCAATGGCAAGAGGCATTGAACTTGTTTCAGGGAATGTTGGAGGCCAAGCCTTCTCCAGATTTGGTGACATACAACTCGCTGCTGGACTGCCCAGCCATTTGCATCAAGAAGGTGGGCAGTCACCTGTTGGAGCAATGCAATTTGCAGTTCCGCAGCTTGCGAAGCCTGAAAAAGCCTCGTGAAGAGACCATTCTTGCTGATGTCGACTAGTCTTGACCCGGGTACCATGCATGACTGTAAGGAAAAGGAGTTGTTCCCCCAGGGTTGGATCGCTGGTCTGTTGCCATCAGATTTGCTATTTACCTTGTGCGAAGGGTGCACAGGACATGGCGTATAAGTTAAGGTATACAAGCCAACAATGTTGCTTGTGAGTGTTTCGATGTCAACATGACCGTCACACGAATGCTGGTTGCATGAGTTTCACACGAATGCCGCGGCAGATTGCCCGGCAAGAGCACCTAACAATACCCCAGAAGGTGTGAAAGTGTGTGAAAGTCAACTAGTCCCATGGAGTGTCCCAGACACTCCATGGGACTAGCAGACGAAGAAAAAAAGAACTTAGCATTGGGGGCATTGGGGTCAATTGTAGAGGGCAATGCACGTGAGTACTTAAGTGGGAAAGGACATAAAATCAGGATGCTCCTTTCGCCCATCCTTTTACCTCTAAAATATAGACTATATATCGATTCAATATTGACTATAGCATGCACCATCACACACACACACACACCACATCGTTTTACACCGTGGCACGCATACCGTGCCGCTAAGCCTGCCGCTTACGCCGCTTACTGCCGCGTGCCGCGGTCGCGGTCTACTGCCGAGGTCCGAGAGCTTTTGGCACACACTGCGGGAAGCGCGCATTACGGAGACGTGGCGGCACCGGAGGTCTGAGGCTCTGAGGGTGGAGAGGACCCGGCACCCCACGATGGATATCATCGGCGATTGCACCGATGGTGAGATGCAGATGCCTGGGGTCGAAACGAAACCGGTGGAAACATTTTGGGGTCGAATTCTTAAAGTGTCCTGGGTCCATTTGATAGTCGACCTGCTTTTCTTCGAAGCATCCATGACATCCTAGGACAGAGTGACTCGAATGAGTTGAAGGACAGACTCAGAACAGCTTCGATCGCGGGCAGCGCATCGAATCCAGGATCCGTCAAGTTGGCTTATTGTCCCTGGGGTATATGATGGTATATGCCAAAGTTCCCTCTCCAGACCTGTGCCATCAGGCCAGTCTCAACTGAGGAAGTCAAGGAGGAGCTGAACCGGATCTTGGGGAAGACCGCCACTCGGCGGCGTCATGCGGATCTGGGCTCAGCTGCGTAGTCGCGAGTCGCAGAGGCTCGGATCTAGGCTCAGCTGGGTCACTCTCGCTCACAAGGAGCGTCTTCGTAAGCTGGTCGACCCATGACATCGATGGGACTGACCTATTTAGACACGCTATGATCAGCTGAGATGGTGTCCCGGGGTCCATTTATATGGGATGGTTTTTCTGGGGTCCATCAACTTCCATAACATGGAGGGTCTCTTGGATCGACTCGGAACTCGGGAACTGGGGGAGAAGCCAATAAGCAGTGCCTGGCAAGCATGGAGAAGCCAAATGCCTTGCAACATGAGGAGTTGCAGTAGTAGTTGCAGTGAGTTGACTTGAACTTTGAGTTGAGTTTCATTTGGTCGAGTCAACTGGGAGTTGCTCGCAACATCTTGCAACTCAACATGGTTTGATCGAGTTTCACAGTCACAAAAAGCAACGTTGAGTTGTGTTGTATTTTTGAGTTTTGGAGTTGAGCGTTTGTTGTTTGGCCGTTTGGAGTTGAGCATCGCTTTGGTCAAGACATGTTGCGCACTCTATTCTTTTGATTTGAGCCCATACACCACTGGGACAAGCCGCTCTTCTTGAAGATTCCAACCTGTTTGTCGGTAGAATCCTGCAGGATTCGACGACGCCTCACATCACATCACCTGGTCGAATGTTCTCTCTCCGAAGCGGTGAAAACGTTCGCGCTTGTGAATTGACCGTCCCACACGTTCGCCCACGCGACATGAACTCCGACCGCTGATTGACTTAGATCTTTCTATGATCTTATAACATTCGGTAAGAAAAAACATATACTTTCTTCCTGAAGTATGCCACAACCACCAGTGGATCTCGATTCTGATAGGCGTTGAGTTTGATTCCTAACCAGATTTAGCATAGCTTGCTGCTCGCATTTGCCATGGTTCTTGAGAATGGTGACGCCAGTTCCTTCATGTTTGAACAGCAGACATGCCTTTGGCCGACCTGTGGGCCAACCCTGGCAGACTGATCAGAAAAGCTGACACACACACACACCAACTAACCTACACCCAACCCACCATAACCTGCCCACTTAGTGTCTAGTAGAAGGAATAGTAGCCTCTCTGAAGATTACTCAAGCCTGCTAAATAGAGGTCTCTTGCTTTCTTCTTGAAACCTCCAGAGGTTCAGGGCAAATATTGCTTTGGCAAGGTTATAGTCTACATTGTATCCCAGACATGGATGAGCCTGGGTATAGTTGGCACGTTGCCAAGATGAACCTATGCAACTTGATCTGACCATGTGAATTACTGCGACCAAGATTGACCAGGCATCAACAACCTATAAATCATTATACACTATGGCTCCAACTAGCTCCTGAGAAGTGGTTAGGGTGGGTTTGGGGGGGTCTAACCATCTTCTGAGGATATGGCCCTACAAATAAATTATGTGTTACAACATGTTTGAAAGAAGAACACTTCGATGTTCTGGAAAACCACCCAGGGGGCGTGTGTGCAAACCGTCATTGCTTTTTCATCCCGTTTGATCCGCCGGATCCTCGGGATCTGAGGAGTTGCCCACACGGAGTGACAGCATTGGCACAGTGCTGCAGGACAAGACCTTGGATTTGGAGCTGAAGGCGCATCACTGTGGTTCTGTAGGTGTTTTTTTCGTGGTTCGGTTCGGGGTTCGGTATTTCTTTTTTCTCCGGGTTGGGGTGAGGAAAGTGGACACCCCGAAGGGCCTCGAAGGGCCTATTGGTAGACACCATTTAGGGGGTCCTGGTATGCCTGGTATGCCCTGATACTTGTTCATGGTTCTCTTATACAGTGCCTCGCCGGTGCGGGGCGTTCCTTTTTCGGTGTGCGCGCATGGGGGATGCCTCGTCAATGGCTTCGGGGATGAAGTACCGACTCAACTGCATCGCCGACCATCCATCTATTACATATCTGGACCACCCGATTCCAAAATTAAGTGCAATATTTCAAGGCATTTGAATGAGCAAGAAAAAGGGCCATGCTGGACTTTAAAAAAAGCGACATTTACGACAAACATGACATTTGCTATGATGGGGTGTCCCAGGAGAGGTAGACGTGGACCACAAACGCGCTGGGATAGATCATTTTCTCAGGTGTTTGCCGAGGATTGGGCTTCAAAAACAGCCTGGTCAAGCTAAAGTGTTTGTGAGCTGCTCAATATGCTGCAAAATGTTCAGTCCGCGAGTTTCTGCCATATTCCCCGCAAATTTTGACTATTTAGACTTGTTTGTCAAATTTTGCAAGGTGCAGTTCAAGAGTGGCCCCTTATCAAACGTTGGAATGCCACAAGTTGAACTGGAGAGTGTGCCGTGTAATCAATTCTGCACCATCAATATTGTGTCCTGTTGCACCAGGTGCAGTGCAGGTCAAGATCCCCAAAGAACACAATAAGATACAATAAGTAGTGACACAAAGGGTACTTTTTTGGCATGACTGCTCCAAAATGCATGTTATTGTTAAATCATTTTTTGCATACAAAGGTTGCTCCAGCTATTTTCACCCCATTTATGAACCTACTGTAGGCAAGCATTCCATACATGGAGTGTTTGGGATCAGGAGTCACCAGGTCAAGAAGGGGTCTCGCAGGTCTTGGACCGTCGGATTCAGCTGCGAAGACCCAAACTGAGGCGAAGCTGCAGCGCATGGAGACACAGAAACGTGCTGCGCTGGATGCTGGAGAGCACGTGGAATTGGCTGTTTAGAGTTTAGTCGGTGTGGTGCGTTGGTGCACGCAGGGGAGATGGGCAATGGGACAGGGCGTTGGCCCATGTTTTCCAATTTATGGACTTGGCCTTTTCACCTGGCACAGAGCGCCCTCCACCTGGATTGAGTGGTTCATGTCTTCACAGTTTGAAACAGCAGAAACTGGTGGACTTTCCTCCAGGAGATTACGAGAAAGCCGCCAAGATCAAGAAGGACGCGGACGAGATCTTCCAAAAGCCGCTTGGATCTGATGTATCTTTTCCCCAGCCATGTGAGGATGCCTTGGTCAGACGTTTTTTTCCACAAACCATTTGCCATCCACCACACCTTCCTCACCTGCACCTCTCCACATTGACGCGGAGTTCCCGCAAGCCAGAACATACCCAGGCCGGTGGAGCTGAAGAAGTCGGGCGACATCCCCTTGTCGGAGGTGGCGCAGCACAACAAACCCCACGACTGCTGGATCGCGGCCCTTGGGATGGCAAACGCTGACCAAGTCGCCGCGAGCGCCACCGGAGGATTCTGGGGGACGTGGGTTTTTGCTCCGCGCCACCCCCCAGCGGACATAGCGCGGAGCTTTGCTGTTTGTTGATGCGTCCTGGATGGAACCACTGACTTTGCCGTATGGTGAGGCAAGAATTCAAAAATAACAGCGTGATCCCTCGAGAAACCGTTTGAAAGGTCCAGGCTGTGCGAAGCACGCAACCCATCGCTATTTCAGTGTGGTTCAAAGAAAAACTGTGTGGTCGGTTTGTAGGGTGCCAGGTTTGCAGCTTTGATGCAAGGTGAGCGTTGTTGCTGAAGTTGAGTGCTGTTTGAAATTCAGTCATTTTTTGCGCAATCCTTCCAAGCTGATCATCGAACCACTGAGTGCTTACAGGATGATTGGTGCTTTCACGGTTGAGAACATGGGCGTTTCCAAAGCCATGAGCTATGAGCCACGCTGCTGAGGGTGCCCTAGGATTCCAAACATATTCCAACCACCATGATTTTTTCACATGTCTTCACCAAAGGGCCGTGATGGTTTTATTGTGTTGTATTGGGATGTTCATGGATTTTCGGCGACCATACCGGGTCAGCCGCCTTTTGATATCACCGTTTTGGATGGCGTCAGGGGTGTGTTTTGAAGTCGAGGGGATCGATTGCCGTAAACTTGTCTGTGAGATCAACAACACGGTCTACGACCTGACCGATTTTCTGCAACACCACCCCGAGCAACGGAATTCCATCCTGGCCTGGGCGGGTCGTGACGCTACACCCATGTGGGACAAAATCCCTGGGCGCTTTCCCAGAGACCTGGCAAGAATTGTTTGGGGCAGAAGTGAGGACTTGCGATCTACAGTCAGGGCACGTCATGTATGAATCATTGATGAACATGGCAAGACTGTGGACAAAGTTCCTCAGCATGGATCATTTGAAGGCCTTGATGGGATTTCTTAACTCTCATGCAGGGCAGGGTCCCAGCTCCAGCTTGTGCTTCACAAGCACTACCGGGGTGGATTTGCACGGTCAAAGGCCAAAGGGCAGGCTGGCGATCTTGGAGGACCTGTTGAAGGTGGTTGGAAGGTTACTTTGTTCACTGCTTTTTGTTTGCTTGTTGATGTGATATGATGTGATAATACATATTTCTATATATATATATACGTATGCTATACATATTGCAACATGTGAGACAAACACAGGCACACTGATAAGTATGATGGGGCAATGCCGCTGCTGCCTGGCACAAAAGGACACTTATGACTTATGCCGGCGCCCGGCATACACAGAGCGCACCTCATGGCACTGCAATGCAAAAAGTTTTGAAAACTAGAGAAACGCATTCTTCATGCGCCAACATGTCAACAACCTTGAACGCATTCATGATTTTCATGCATTGCGTAGCTGTTTCCGGTGCAACACATGGCTTGTCCGGTAGTCTTCGCCTTCGGGGGCGCACGTGCCAAATTGCAAGTCCGTGGAAGATGTCCATGCCAAGCTTCTTCCAGGTAAGAACTGGATGGAGTTCTACATGCGGCCAGAGGCGGAAATGGGCAAGGCGCTTCTTCCCGCAGGTGTTTTTGTTTGTTCTTCGGGATCTCCGGGCGTCGGGTGTCCCCGTACCGGGTGTGAACGTGGGGTCTCAGAACTTCCGTTCCCGGCCGGGTTGCCGATGGGTGGATGCTGTGGGAGTGAGATGCCCAACAGAGCTACTGTTCACGTCGTCACAAGAAAAACCATGTCACACGTCCTCCACGGTCTGCAGGCAGGCACTGGCGGTATTTAGACAAGCACAGAGATTAGTTGAAGAACTCACAAACTTCATCCATGGCAAATGCCGAGGCTCCTAAAGAACACAGAGAGGCCCTCCCAAAGAGGTATAGAATCACCTGCTCAACAATATATGCAATGCATTTTGTATGCCAATTTCACGCATCTATCGTCATTCCAGTTCAGTTTACCATGTTCTACTGGAACCTACTTGACTCGCTGTTTGGAGCACTCCCTTTCGACTGCCTCAGGTGGCCGCTGAGGCCTCCATGAGTGCGAAAGAGAAGGCGCGGCATCGAAGCAGGGGATGATTCTGGGGAGGATAGTGACGGGTTTCCCTTATATAGACTACATCAAGCATATTAAGAATATATTAAGCATATAAAGATGTGAATACTCATAGCCACTGTTTAATGGAACAGGTGGACCGTGGATAAGATATATGTATATATAATTGTATTATAGTTATATAATGTTAAATATATAGATAGAGTTAATAATGATATATAAATATATGGAACGATTGGAGCAGGATGTGGTCACCTGAAGGGTCGCCTGAATCGAACATCGAGTGCAGCATTCCACGTGCATCGCTTCACGGGAGGAACTCCAAGACACTGGTTCAACCGTCCTCCGTACATTTGACACCCGGAAAGAGACCCACATGGAACCTGAATTAGGCATAGACCAGACTGGAAGACCATTAGTCCTCTAGAACACCAGTAGTTTCTTTTTTGCAGGTTCCATGTGGGTCTCTTCCAGGGCGTATAGCTTGTTTGTTTCCACCCATTTTGTCGACACGGATATTTGTGGAATGACTGAATCAGAGGCCAACCGCTTAAGTATATAAAGGGGGATGTTCAAGCAATTCCCAAGGCAAACCATGCAAGCCCTACAGAGTCCAGCCAGGCAAACCAGCGCACGAACCTTTCTTGTTTGCCATGAGGTGGACCTGATGCAGCCAGGTTGAAGTTATCTGCTTTGGGATGTTCTCCTCAAAAATGCATGGGATGGGTTGACTGCTACCCCCGACCAACTCCTCGAAGTTGTTGCGAAGATGGTCCGGTCCGTAGCGGCTATAGCCGGTTCTCCAAGAAAAAAGGCACTTCAAGAAGTTGACTACCACCTCAAACCACTGAAAAAAGGAGATGTGCTACTCTCCCAAGAACTAACATGGAAGTGGAGTTCACCACCTGTTTGTATTGGAATTCATGGTCTTCCGAACTCGGGGTCATTCTCCACGTAACCATCTTACTTCCAGGGAGTGGTCCTTCCCTCCTTCCCTTGGTCCTTCCCTTCTGTCCACCACCCAAGTTCCCTCCCCAAACCCCAAACCCCCAGGGGGCGGGGCGTCCTTCCGGAATTCACACTGCCACCGCGCCACGCGGTCCCAGGAGGTGGTCCATTTGCTCACGGAGCTACACCGGCTCGAAGGGCCATCGCAGGAGCGCAGCCCCGGCCGCAGCCCCGGCCCTCGGGGGTGGAAGAGCTGCACGACGCGGAATACCTGCTTTATCTGGGGGATTGGTGGCGAATGGTGATGGTTTCGGATAGTTTTGATGTTCAACCCTGACTTGGGGATGAAGAAGGGCCCTCTGACTCATATTTGTCAAGTGAGCTGAAAACACCAAGCAGGTTGTTTTTTCCCCACTGAATTCTGAAGAGATAGACTTCGTTGGGTGTTAATTAAGCTTCTTGTGGTTTTGGAAGCTTCTTTTTTCTTCTCCTTCTCCCCAAGACTAAAGAGGCGGGTACAATCAGAACGGTGAAAGTTGGAGTGCTTTTGAGCCAGCTCACAGTGTGTTCAGCTTGAAAAAAGGAGGAAGAAGACCTCATACCTCATCAGTTGGACCTCGTCAGTTGGAGTGGTTTCATGGAGTGTTTGGGACTCATGTTATGGAGTGTTTGGGACCCAAGGAGTTGTCGGAAGCTTTTCCTGTTAGAGACTGACAACTCAAACAGTGCGTTTATGTGCAAACTCCATCCCAAGAGAACCATCCAACAAAAACCCTGCTAAGTCATGAGTTCAAACCCAACTTTCCAAGCTTTTCTATCGAGCTCCTCCACCCATCTCACCTAGGAGATCTGGGCCGCTGCCGATCGGTGCATGACCTAACATCATCTAACATCCATTCCAAACCCATTGGTCGATCAGATTTCTGGATTTGGCCATCGCTGGGGGAGGACCATTGAGGAATTTTCCCTGCAGAGGGGAAGATAGAGAGTATCATCGAAAGTATATATTTATATATGTCTATGAATGATTCAGCCGTTCGGTTCCATACTCGTTGCAACTACCGGTGATGCCTGGTGAGATTCCTCTTTTCCTCCGTGATTCGGATCTTGGAACGCTTCACAGCGGCTCCTTTGAGAAGATGTGTCTTTTTCCTCACCCCACAAAAACATACAAAAAAACTGTTTCAGCCAAAGTGTGCCTACCGCATCTCACCACACCTGTCAGACTGAGACCGTCACCGCGACGCATCAAACAGCGCCTGTGCGCGTGCGCGTGCTGCATGCGGTGGGGCCCCGGGCAGCCAGGAGGATATCCAGGCGGCGAAGACGGCGGCGGCGAAAGTCCCCGGCACCGCCGACATGCCCAAAGTGTCGGAGGCCGCGCGCTTTCCGTGGCTTGGAGGATGTGATGATGTGGGCGGAGGTGGTGTTGGGCGGACTCAGAAGTGGGGATAGTGCAGAGGGTGGGAGGTTTTTCCAGAGGGTTGGAGGATGGCTGAGGGATTTTGTTTGCTTCCTGGATCTCCTCAGCTGCTGCACTGATTGTTCAAACTCTTTGGGTGGGTAGATGAAATGGAGTGTACTTCCATGGTTCTTCCACAGGGGATGCCCGGGCCGGGCAGGGCCGCCAATGTCCCCAGCCAACTTGTTTCTTGAAGTCATTTCTTGGCTTGAGGAAGCTCAAAGACATCACAGCCGGCAAGGCATCGGGCAGGGTTCGGTCTTTGGGGGGCTGTTCGTTGGGCTGATCGGTCGTCTCTTTTGGTGGTATATTTGGTGTAGGTTCTTTACCCCACCACATTCTACCACTTGTTGATTGTTCGTTTTGCTCTACGTTTTGATTCTTTGGGTGTTTGTCTTACTAAAACTGTATCACCGTATCATGACCAGCACCCTTGAACTGGTTTGGCTGAGATCTCAAGTGGCCACCTGCCCTTTCGCCGGATTCCCCGAAGATAAGGGGAGGGTCCAAGCCATTTCTACTTGGTGGGCTTGAACAAAAATCAAGCTCCCTGTATTACCAGTAGCATGAGGATATTGTAAACTGTGACGTGCGTGATCCAAACAGCTGATGTGTTTCTTTTTCGCTTTTCTCTCGAAGAATCGGGCCTGCGTGACCCGAGAATGTTGGCAAAGAAACACACATGTACCACACAGATCCGCACTGTTAAACATTCCATCAGAGGTTGGTCCGGACCCTATTGACTATCCCAGTTGGGTACTCCAGGTGACGGGTCCTATTTACGGTGACTGGCTACCTCTCTTGTGTGTTTTTTGTTGGTGTTTTTGGTGGTCACTGAACAGGTGCGTCTTCATGCCAGGAGTTCCCCTTCTTCTCCCGGGCCGAAGTGGCGAAGAAGACGGGGCCAGAGGAGTGGCTCGGGCCAGAAGTGGCAATGAAGAAGGTTGAGGTTTTATGAGTTTTTCAAATTTTCACGTGTGCCACACCCTCAAAAAGAACATGGTTTGTGGGGCCCCTGGTATGGCGAAGGAATGATGATTCATTGGACCATTGGATGAGATCCAAGCTGTAAAGAGATGGTTCAGTGTGTGTCGACTGTGAGAAGTTATGCCGACCTCACCTGTTTTCTGAAAAAGAAGACCGTTAGAATGTGACTCCCAACATCCACCACCCAACTGGAAATCCAAACATCTACCCTGGAGACTCCAAACATGTAGAATCCCAACTGGAACTCCAATGTGAGCTGGTGGAACCCAACTGGAAATCCAATGTGACTCCAAACATCCAGCCAACTGGAGCTTCCCAGTGCCCTGGTCGAATTCTTTCATGACACCTCCACTGCCTCCATCACTGCTACCTCCATCCGCCCGGTCCTCCGGTCGACTGAGGCCTTTCATGATCATCCACAACCGTGCCTTGGTTTTGCTTGTTGGGTCATTGAATTCTTTTTTCCCGTTTGTTTGGGTAAATCCACAGTTCCTGGATGTTCCTGGAGAATATTGAACATTTGTCATAGCTTATTGCCGTTTGTTCCCGGTATCGAGAATTCCGCCAGACTCCTAAGGTGTCTATGACTTGCGACCCTTGCTGGGAAACCATCCGGGTGGTGATGAGATCCTCACCTCCAAGGCCTGAGCTGCGACGGCACACGGTGGCGTGGGTGGGTGGGTGCGTGGGTGCGTGGGTGGGTGAGTGGGTGCGGTTGCGGTGAGGTGAGGTGAGGTGAGTGGTAGGCAAATGTAGGCGATGCGGTAGGCATTCGTTTGTCATGACGGTGGCCGCGCCAGGCTGGCACAGACTGCACGAAGGAGTTCGAGGTCTTCGAGCATTCGGAGAAAGCCCGAGTCGCTGGGTCTGAACTGAGCCCGAGTCTTGGGGAGAGCAAGCAGGAACGCCCTCAGACCCACTACCCGCCCTGGTTTTGCGGTATCTCAAGGTTTATATTTGTTCAATTGTCCCTATGAGCCTATGGGTAAGCCCCCTTTTCTGGGGAACATGTTATTTCAAAGAACAATCATGGTTATGTGGGTGGCATGGCCCCCGGAAAGGCATCTTTCCTCCACAAACAGAGGGTTATCCACTTCCATATTGCTGGAGGCAGGGCAACCTACATCAAAGCTCATCAAAGTGAACATCCGTGTGCAGTGTAGTCCAGAGAGTTCTTAGACCCCGGTGGTCTCAGTGGCCATTTTCCATGTTATGTCGGAGAGTAGGGAAGTCCTCAGACCCAGACCATCCATGTGTGGAATAGATACCTACATCTATAGGGTAGATCTGGGTAAATACATAACACATAGCTATTTTCCAGTCTCATGGATGGACTGGAAGGAGTTGCATGAGGTCGATTCCGGCAGTTTTGCTTACAGAAACTCACCTGCAGCGCTGGGGGAGTCCTCAAGTGTTCGTACAACAAGTGTTTCGCTTTACACGCAAGTGGCCAAATATCGGAGAGAAACCAAACCACGGTCTCCCTCCCAGGATTTCACTGTCCAAGTGGCCATAGCATCCACGGTCGTCCATGCTGATTCCAGGGATAAATTGAAAACATCCGATGCCCCTGATTAAAGAGCTGTTGGAACATTGCCCATATTTTCGTTGAGCCCCGTCTAGTTGGGTGTTGTTAATGATGTCCACACTGGCCCCAGTGTGGGTCGCGTTACGCGCGGCCGAAAACACCAGCTGGATGGCACTACCATGGCTGTTGGTGCTTTGGGCTGACGACATGGATGTTTGGTTTGTCAGATGTGCAGGATCCAACCCCGTTGGGAGATCAACAGCCAGGAGAGCGGCTCCTCCAACGGCCTTCCTGGAGGTTTTGTGGCATTCGCTGGACCATCCTGGAACCCTTTTCAACAGTTGGTATCTACAGCCAAGGAACTCTGGATTTGGGATTTGAATGGATTTGAGATGCTTCCTTCCCCCTTCCCCCCTTCCTGATGCAACAGTGGGAAGGTCCCGGGGTTAAAAGCAGTGCTGGGGTGGTTTGGGGTCAAGCATGTGGTGGTTTGGAAACTTGTGATAAAGACGAGCACTCAAATACTGTAATCATTGTGATCATTTGTGATCTATCGATAGATATATATATATATATGATATATATATATATACTGTATACTTGCAGATGCGATTGACATTGATGCATGTCATGGCAACCAAATGTCAAGTGTGATGTCCTTTGGCCTCAGGTACGACGGGATCAAGAGCTCCTGGTGGGCGACCTGCTGCCAGCTGAGCATTTGGACCCTTGGGAGTGCCCTCGAGAGGGAGAGAGCAAAGACATGGACCTGAAAAAAGGTCCAGCAAAAAGGAGCTAAAGAAGATGGTGTATGATGTGTATGATGGCTTGATACTTTCATGAACTTAGTGTACACCTGGGGAGTTGAACTCTTACGGTTGGAAGGACAGACGACCTTCTCAGTACCATGCCCTCCATCATTTCCCTCTACATGTTGAAGGGCAATACCCTCCACGAAGTCTCCAAATCGGAAGAATTGATTGGCCTAAGTCACGGCAAAATTAGCTGGATTTGTGCCTTTTGCCCGATTACCCTGCTTGAGAACTGCGACACAGGTTCATAGACAGGTATTTGATATTTCCATAGTTCCTTGACTCTTCCTGGAAGGACACACTGAAACCACCCCAAAGTACAGACGCCACACACGGACTCGCTATGCTTCACTCGAATCCTTCGACACTCCATGTCACGGCATGATTTCTATTTCGCATTCCCCTCACGTCCACCGCCGATCGCGGTCGCAGCTCCGGACTGGGCGCCGGTCCCGCGGTGGGGGCGCGAGTCCCCCGAGGACTGGGATGCAGAGGCCAAGGCTGAGGTGGCGTCCGGAGGCGACCGAACTGGCTCTGCTGCTGGGCGAACCGAGCTTGGTGAACTGTGCGGTGGGAGGATGGAGGAGGTGGGAGGGTTGATGAGGGTGTATCAGTCCAGATGAGTGACCATTGACCATTTGATGGGCGCCCTGGGCCCTGTGCGTGCGCTTGGTTTTGAACTCCATCTTGAGGTGTGTGCAAACTAGTTGCCCACTCGCCGGCCTAGCTGGCACACAGGTGCCAGGGTATCTCTTTTTCCCTGCGCGGCTAATATGAGTGCACCTGTACCAGCAACACTCTTACCATGGTGGTTTCTTCGGAAGCGGCTGCTTTGTTCGCCCTAACCATGTGATTATTTTTCTCCATGGTGGACCAAGAGTCGAGTCTCCAAATGATCTTCTTGTGAACCATGGGCCAAGACCTAAGAGTCTCAATGTGGCGCACGCGTGGCCGCTTTTGGGGGCGGAACATCGTGGCGGGCGGGCTCAAGCTAGTGACGGGCGGTCGCCGGATCCGGACGACGGGGATCCGGACAACTCGTGGCCCAGGAGGAATCGACAAGGATGGAAGCCTGCCCCAACATAAACATGAAACACACCGTTGCCTGGGTGGTTTTTGAGAAAGGCGGACACATCCAGACCGTGACGTTGATCGAAAGGTGGGGAGTGTGGGAGCGGGAGCGGACACAGTACAACACTGTGGACACCGTGTTGAATCTCCCTGTGATAATTGGCAGTGAATCACAGGTGAATCACAGGGCAACACTGTGTTCACACGGTGGACACTTGGACACAGTACAACACACTGTGATTGGTGTATCTACGTGGAGATTTGCCCTGTGATAATTGGTAGTTGGTCCCTCAAGTGAGTGAGCTTGGGTGCCCCGCGAGAAATTCCACTTGTTCACTGCTACGTCTTCCGGACCCTTTGGGCTAAGCAGACGTTCCCAGCTTTTGCAGCAAGGACTTGGCCTTGTACATGAAATACAAAGTCTTCGATGCACTGTGCCTCGACAGATCAGCCTCTCTATGTCCCAGTGTGGATCGCTCCACTGAATGGTCAGAGGGCCAAAGCCAACCAACCCTGATGTACCAGCACCCTCCAACAGGTCTCCTTTGGAGGGTTGTTAGGTCCTGTTACTAACAGGCTACTAACAGCTTTCATCAGGTTTCAATTGGTGACCTCATTGGAGGGTGCTATGTTTTAACCTGGTTTCCTGCTCATTCTGGCTTTCTTGTGCCACTGTTCTGCATGGGGTCCCAAGCCCCTTGGTCGGATCACTCACCCGTCGCATCGGGGACCGGCGCTGAGGACGGGACGAGCGTTCTCAACGCGCACGAGCGAAGAGACCCCAGAAGGGCTCCAGTTCTTACCTTCTAAGGAGGTGTTTGGGGAGGGTTTGGAGTCTGGAGGGTCCAAATATGTCCAAATACCTTCTGAGGAGGTACGACTGGAGCCCTAGGGAGACAGACCAGGAACACCAAGAGGTCATACAATGCATTTGAACGCCGCAGCTGCCATATGCAGTGAGACGCATTTGCCATCAACTGATTTTCATTTCTTTTGGCACAACCATTCCAACCCCTAAAGTTTCAGTTTTAAGAGTTAGTAACTTTGTTTTTGTTTGTGTGTGGCATTGTGAATTGAGTTTGCTGAGGGTGGCTTTCGTGTGCATCTACATCTACCGTACTTCCCATCATATGAAGCCGCTGTCGCTTGGTGCAATTGATTCCGCACCGGTCGGCGTCCTCTTCGCTACTTGGTCCAGTTCTGTTTGGTCAGTCCGGAGGTGGAAGTGGAGTCGCTACTTGGGTGACGATGGAGCGCGGACCGAGGTCCTTGTTGACTTACAGTCGGGCGCTGCGGCACTTGCACCTCCTGATGGCACTGGGCATTTTTGGTGCCTTGGGCACCGCCCAGGCAGCGGCCTACTCCAACGGACAGAATAAGAGGCGCTTCATTCAGTCTTCGGGAGCGAGCGCGGACGGAGCCGGTGGAGATTGGGAATGGACGTCAGTTGCGGTAGAATGGCTTAACTGGTTAAATCACGTTAGATCACTGATAGGTTTGTTTCCTATTTTGGTTCTATTTAGAGTCAGTGACTTGGCTAAGACCCTTGTTATGACAGAGACTATGATTCATAAGGTTATCATATATACATATTGTATTGAAATTATAACTAACTATAGAGATCATTATGATATACAATACCTGGCCCAGCCAGTCCATGGGACTTGTATATATGCCTACATTGGGGTGGTTGAAGAGGGGTCAATTGCAGTCCTATGAATAAGTTTTTGGGATATGATAAACTGAAAGATTCACTATCATGGTTTGTCCTCCTTTTTTAGTGTTGTGCATGTGATGTTTCTTTAACCCCCGTGCGGTTGAGGAAGGAGCCAGCGTGTTCTCCCCGTTCAACAGGATCCAGCAATGGAGCAACCAAAGTTACCCAGACATTTCCCTACATTGAGGTGATTGAGTTGGTTTCCGAGGTCAATATAGATCATCAAGTGGAGTATGTGGGCTAGGTTTGAAGAAACATGTTGGTGCTTCAATTTAGGTCGTTTTGGGGGAACTTCCAGCAAGAATTGTGAGCCAACTTTGGGCTGCATGATAGGCCAACCTCTACATGTGTCAACAAGCAGGCAAGATCTTCCTGCGCCGCTTCTTGCGCAGGAAACTGTTGATTCTGCACAAACAACTTGGTATTGGAGCCTTGGCGGTTTCAGCCACCAGTCGAAAGCGCTGGTGGGTGATGGTAGGTTTTCTAGGTCAGAGTTTTCCCACAAGCACAATGCATGAATAGCTACGCGCATGAATCAATGGATCGCCTCTAGGACGCTTCCACAAGAGCTTTCGGCCGAGGATGCTTTGTGCATGCTGGTCTTGGAAGATGGTTCATGGAGTTTTGTCCATCCATGGAAAGTGCTTTTCGAAAGGGATACCAACAGAGAGTGCATCTCAATGTTTGTTCATGGACAAGGTCATTATATTTGCGATGACCGTCCAATTACTGTCCTTTGTGTTCACCCAATACCATATGATTGTCTCATTTCACACAGTACTTGTATAATAACTATACCGGTATAAGACATATATGTATATACCTTATACGTGTTGTTATGTATTGTAACTTAGCTTCTATACCCATTGCAGATCGGGGCAGCATTCTGATCCGTTGAGCCGGCCAGAGCTATACCAAGGGATGCTGCTGGGCCTTGTGGCGCGCGCCTTGGTCCGGCTACGCTCGGGGATCCCACCCAGATTCCCGGGGAATAGCGCCTTGGTCTAGAGGGGAGAGGGGTTGGGCCATGGGGTTTTACCGTTTTCTTTGGTGATGTTTATTTGCTTTTCTGGGATCCAGGTGTTTGAAACTTCGTTTCAAAGGTGTAGAGGGAGCCTCCAGGCCTGCATAAAGGTGTTGAACACATCAGCCTTTGAGAAGGGATGTGGATCCATGAGGAATGGAACATGGCATAGCAATTTGAAAGACATGGCCTGGAAAAGGGAACAGGCACTTGTTGGAGGCCACGGCCCTACAAATTAAAGGTGTTCCTGAACATCCTGCAATGCCTTCACGATTTTGCAGTTGTGGTCCATCAACACTATATGACTATATGACTGTACTATGATAATCTGATATACAGTACTGTGATCAGGGTGAGGATCTGGGTTGATCCGGGTCCAGTGAACTGTGGGGTCCACCACTCTCTCATGACTTCGGTGGACTGGCACTCCGCGCCTTCCTTCCGCGCGCGCCTTCCTCCGAGTCGTCCGAGTCCGTTGCTTCGCGCCGAGAACTGGTGCAGATGGTGGAGACCCAAAGCTTACGGTTCTTCTATGCCATCATGCTAGCATTGCCTCTGACGGGGATGGCCAGTGAGCCCTTTGGCTGCGCTGGATGCAAGAGGGTGCCTTCCCCTCAGCCAATGAGAACACAGAACGCAGTTCGCAAGAAAGTGAGACTTGATGAGTTTGTCCTGGACACTTCACCTGCAAGGGTCGCGGCTGAAGGCCACGGTTCGCAGGTCGTTGGAACGGGTGGAGCGCTCCGAAGACTTATGACATCACTATTCGCGTGGGCCACGCACGCAGCCACAGAGATCCTCCTCTATATGGGAGTTGATCGAAAACCCCGTGTAAGGAGTTTTATATAAAACAGCCTTTCAGATGTTGTTAGAACCATCCGCGAAAGATTCGCGATGAGGTTCGCGAAAGTATCTTTTTTTTCCGCGAAAGATTTATCGAAGGTCATCGCTTTCATTGTTTTCCTTTCTACCGGACTGACAAAGAATAGAACCGCAAGGCAATCCTCCGGCAGAGCCAGTGGGCGGAAGTGTCCCCATATGTCACAGACTAACGAACTGAAGCCTCAACATTTCCGTGCCCAGCCCTGGCAGTGCGTAAAGGATTCTCCGATTCCTGTCCCCACTGTCACAGAAAGCACCAGTGAAATTTTGCGAAAGATCCGCGAAAGTTTCGCGAATGTGCCGCTAAAGTCTAGGTTCCCAGCTTGAGGCCCCCCAACATTCCTCAAGCTGCAGCACCCTGTGTTGGTAGCTGGCACGAGGATTGGGTTGAGTTGCGCCGGACTCCTGAGTAGCTGTGGAAACGTTCAACCATCTACTGCAGGGGTCATGCTGCAAGATGTCTCTCCCTATTTTGTGATACTATGACATGTTCCGGCTCATGTTAGCTAGACATGGTTGTAGGACCATGCTTTGCGATGAGGCCGCGAAAGATCCGCGAAAGATATCTTTTTTTCCGCGATGAATGGCCATTCCAGGATGGAAGAATATTGATCAACCACCATATATATATATATTCATGGATATCACTAAATAGCTGTAAACCATTAGTAACATTTACTATGTTTGTTTGTAGATGTGGTTTTCTTCACCATTTCATAGGCTACGTCTACGTGTTTCTCACATTCAAGTATTTTATGGTACGGGCCCCCGACATGGTTTGGGCTCCACTGGTTGGACATTCCATTCTAGGCATGGACTATAGTCTATGATTCCCCATAATTATAATACCTTTGATGGACTATACTTCCATAGGGCTCCACGGGTTCATGCTGTCCATTCCTTTTTTTGGAGTATCATAGACTATAAATGTGTGGCGAAGCCAAGACTGTCCTTTGTTCACCGGGTGTTTTTTGCTGACCAAGTGAATTCCGAAAGGAAGACGCAATAACAAGACTTACAATAACCACAAGAACTCATACAACTCTGAGCTTTATTTAGGGACCGTTTGACTGAACCGTGCGCACCAAAACGTTTAGCTTTGTTCATTGTCAGTGGATTGCCAAAAGGAGCACAACATGAGGGGGAGCACCAGTGACACTTTACACCGGTGTGGTGATGCTTTCACATCCCCCTCCTCTCCACCGTGACCCGCCGAGGTACTACTTGAAGTGGGCCTCTTCGGAATCGCCCGAGGATGACCGAAGCTTGGACGTTCTGGGCGGATCCCACCAGCGGAGCCCGGTCGACCTGGTGTGGTCACGTGGTGTCGGAGGTCGGTGTGGTGTGGCACCGGACGTCCGAGACGGTCGACCCGTTGGTGTCCAGCGCGTTCGAACAAGACGGTCGATCGGTGTTTCACCTGCCAGGCTGGGGGGAAGGCACGGCGCCTGACTCATGTGCATCGATGGTTTGGGAATCTTTCAGGTGAGTTGAAGCCAGCCCGCTATCCTTCCTATTCATAATAAGGGTGTAGGAACAGTCGGCAAAGGTGTATGACTATGTTTTTGCGAAAGGCCTGCAACCTAAGCATCATCCATTGAGCCTGTGTAATGGGATATACCCAACATAAGCATCAGTCAATGTATGCTCAAATCATCAATGGGACTGGAAACAGTTACCCACATTAGGGTCATACATGGGGTAAATGGAGTATTACGCTCTTCCAGTCCCATTCCTCTGGGATAAATCATGTATGGAGCTCGGCCGTGCGCGGTCACCATCTCTCAGGTCCGTACCGGTCCCAGACCTCGTGGGTCACAGGCCCATTGGTGCCCGAACCAGCAAACCATAACAGAGACACTGGGAAGTGAGCATGAAGTTGGACTGCGCCCAAGTGGTTGGCTCTGTTTTGATCAACCCCAGACCATCCATGTAAATGATTAGATGGATGAGGATGGATGGGCTATTTTTGATGGAGGTCAATGTATGCAACTAAATATATACTTCCATGTATGGCTTGGGAAGTGTCGTGTTCTTCGGTTCCTCTCCTCTTCCGAGATGACCAGACTACCACGGAAAGATTCGGCTTGAGGAAAGAACGACCAAGCAGCTCAAAACGCCATCTCGCTCCACAAGTCCTTGGGCAAACTCTTCCAGCCTCTTGCGCTAAAGAAAGAACAGGTTGAAGTCATGTGAATTGTATATATATAAATATAGTTATAACATTACTAATATGTGACATGGAGAAGAAAGGGGTGCATATATGGTCCATATAATGTTGAGGTTGGATGTTATAGTTTTCCTAAAACTCTTCGATGAGCAATGCTACTACTCCGTGGGCCTATATGAATGCGAGGACGCCATGTATGGGGCATGGTCGAAGAACGATCATGCCCTGCGAGGCTAACCCCATTCGTCAGCATTGAACTGGTGTGTGCAAATATATGACATGGTCAGCGCACCCAAGTGGACCTCGAGAGCTCAGCTGACCATGCAAAGACTCAGCTGTTTGGACTGCCTAGGCAACTTTTTCCTTGTGACCTGGCAGATGAACCAGGCAAAACTGGACCAGCACCGAAGCAGATTCACCCTGGCATCGTTCCATTCCCCTTGGGTGCCGAGGTTCGCATGGCTTCCGTTCCACTTGGGCTACACCACGCTCTACCACGCGTCCAAGGGGCGCGGAGTGGTGCGCAAAGTGAGCCCCTTCATTTGAAGCCCAAAATGACGACCACGACAGGTCCCCACATGGGGGGGTTCCCAACCCCTGGCCTGCGAGCAGAGCCTGAGCCGACGATGGAAGAGGAGAACATGTGACTGGAACATACTGGAACCAGAGATATCAAGACTAATAACCGGGAATGAATGTTTGGAGAGTGGTCTCTCCACCTTTGAAGCAGCAGTTCCGATTTGGAGCCCTACCAGTAAGGCCAAGTTTTTCGACCGCCCGTTTTGTTCCACCTTCTCAGCGACCTGCGATCCGTCAATGGCGATCCGCTGGAGAGAGTGTTCCTACTCTTCGTCCCCGAAGAGTCCCACCCAACCAGGATGTGGATACACTCCCTGAAGTACCCTTCTGCCTTCTGCAGGTGAACATGGACCCAGTTTAAACCGCTGGGTGGTCGATGGGAATGGTCATGAATGGTCTTACAAGGGTTCACTGGGTCGAAGTGGGTTCATCAACCACCTGTTTTGGTCTTTGGATTGATTTTATCCGAGTCTTCCAGGCCCGGGCATTGTACTGTACAGTTTTGTTTTTTTTTTTTTTTTTATGCGACCAAGCATGGGTTGCACATGGCTTTACAAAGGGTTTGATTAGACTAGCTAGACTCACAAGTTTCTATCAATTGAACTCTAGCAAGGAAAACGGAAGGCTGTCGGAAACCTCACTGACCATCACTGACCTTTTTTCACCTTTGGTTTCTGAGATGCGGATTCCGCCAGGGCTGGCAAACATGTCGCCGAAAGCTAATATAAGATAATATAAGCTATTTCTGACGATACTGCAGCGAAGAAAAGCTACAGGCTACAGGGTATTACAGGATGCAAAGTGACGGTTTCTTGTAAAGAATAGTAATGCATGGTTTAGCATCAAGCCATCAGCTAGACTTATGCAATGCGAAAGCACAGAACAACACATAACAAGACCATTGGCAAAGCATGGCGAACCTTTGCAATGGGTTCTTTGCTCCATAATTAACTGCCACCTCAATGGGCCAATTGACTCAACAAATTCCGGTCATCCTCGGCTCTTGGCCATGACGTTTCGAGCGACCTCGCTCATTGAATTCAAGCCCAGCGACGACCGTCAAGCGCGAACGCGCGAACGATGGCGCGAAGGCAGGACGGTCGGCAAGCTGCCAAAGGGGTTTCGGAGGCGTAGAAGGCCATGTGGCTGCGCATAATTCGCAGGTTTAGGCAGTGAATTGAGGCATGGGTAGGTCAAGAGTCAATATGGAACCCGGTAATTAGATGCCTTTCCTTTTTCAGCAATAATACATATTGGTTCACAGTGGTGAATTTATTTGAATAATATTTGTTTGATGGTCACTGCAGGGAAAGAACTATGTCCCCTCACGCAGTTGGTAGCACTTTGGTAAAACTGGGCATTTGCTTCAGGCATGTAAGTCCACACAAATCATGCTAAGCCAGCCCTGTCGGAGATATTTATGCTCTATTTAGACATCGCTTCAGTGTTGGGTCATGGTCCCTATCAGGTGCCTGCACGCGCGTATTTATTGTGGGTTGGCCAGGTTGCTTGGTGTGTGACCATTTGCGCAAAAAGCTGCTGGAGCTACGCACGAAGTCGGAGCAGCTTCATCGATTGCTTGCCCGGAGGCGTCAAGGTATTCACTTGACGGAACCTAAGAGCAACGCACAGCCAAAAGGTGCGCGCGGGAAACCAGAAACTTCCGGAACCTTGCAACGGGTTTTGGGATGTTTTAGATTATTTGATTGTTGATTCCATTTCATCATGGGTTGAACTGGGGGTCACCACCTGTTTGGGCAATTAATGCACTCCCATTGGCTTGCGCAGTCTCCAGAAAGCCTGGATGTTCTACCCATGCGCTGATTGCCCTTTGATATTCTGGCATGTTGTGCTCATGAAAGCCTTCAGATTGTTGGAGCCCCGCGACCACGAAGCCACAACCATCAAGGCCCCACAAAATATCACAAAATTGGTCCCAGCACATGCATGCCCCTCCCACAAACCACAGCTAAAGGAGCTTGAGGTCACTTGTGGGTCACCTGTTTGCAAGCGGTTTTGATCCACCCAGTGGCTTAAGCAGGAGTTCCACGTCAGCGTCGCTGTTGGAGGAAATGAAAGCAAAAGGGAGCCCATGACTGATGCACTCATTGACTCATATGTTCACCTACCAGCCAAGCCTCTCCGACTTTGGTGCCTGGCAGATTTGCCACACCCATATCACAACAACCAGACCCACTCGACGTGCGAAGTCACCAAGGGGCGCTTGGAGCATGGCCTTGGAGCTGCTGCCTGGGAGGCCCAGTGGTCTGGGAGAGGCGCTGGCGGGGGCTGGAGGCCGCTGAGGCCTGAGACTCTTCGGAGGAGTCTCCACCTGAGGTTGGATCCCCGGTTCGCTGGATTTTAGCGGTCCCGACGCACCTCTTTCAGAGAACAACGGCGTCGTGACCAAAGGGTGGGTCCTCCATATTCCATCGCATGTCCCGATAAATGGAGCCAAGGAGTTTTCCCAACCCCTTTAGCTATGGTTTTTACAGGTGTTTCATACCATATCCTATGGATGGAGCAGTGCCACATGTGAATCCTGCTAAGTGAAATCAGGCATGATTTTTTGGGGGGCACCGTCGCCGAGAGCGGGACTAGGAGCCCTTCCCACTGAGGTGCCAGGCACAGCGACCGGGTGCAAACGTGTGCTGTGCCGCCTTGCCCTGTGCCGTGCCGCGACCCAGATGTGGGGAAAGTTCCTCCCGCATGGGCGCGCATGCGCGCCACGGTGTGTGTCAGGGGTGGTGTTATTATTAGTATTGTGTTTTTTGCGCGTGTGTGTGTGTGTGTTCTTTCCCTTATGTTGGAATTGACATCCTTGGAGTGGTGAAGGACTTGATTAATTACAAATTGTTTTGTCAAGTCAATAGCCTTCAAGGCCTGTGCTTGCCCACAGAAAAGCGATGTTTTATATATGTTTACACTCCCAAGTGGAATATGGTCCCTTGGAATGCCTTGGAAGACCATGTTGCTTTGCACCCAGATGTTTTTTTTCCACTTGCATGTTAGTTAAAGGGAGTGTATGTTTTAAATTCAGGTTGCAGGGGGGATGCAGGGGGGGGGCATTTGGATCTCAATGGAGGCCACACGGGGCGTGGAATCGGAGCTCATTGGAATGGCATTTTTTTCGAATTCCAACACGATGTCTGATGGCACGCTGTGTGTTTGATGATTGATTTTGTGCAGACATTTGTGATCATGAGCCATATGTATAGTATATATAGGCTCATCTAGCTTGAACCGGGTGTCTTCCAAATATCAAGTGGGTGTTTGATTTGGAATAGTACCTTGTTGTCAAGTTTCTTGCTAGCTCCGTCAAAAACATGTAACACGGCTATGTACTTAATTTTGTTCTGCTTGGAAGCAAAGAGCTCTAAGAATGAGGCAGCATCCACATGCGCTTGACACATGCAATACCTATATATACAGTCATGGAACTTCAAGAATTTAGATTCCTTCGAAGTGGGCAGCCATGCCAGCGTGGAGATATGATGAAGATGATGATGATGATGGAGACATTACGCATGAAGAGTCCGCAGAGACCATCTCCTTCCTCACAACCACCAACATCATCCACCGCTTCTGGCGCCGCAGCCAAGCACCACTATTTCAAAAGTTTTGCGCCGCACTTTAGAGTTTTTGTCTCAAGCTTTTCAAAACACTTTATTAAGGTGGATGGAGAACGTGGCTGCAAAAAGAAAGGCTTGACTTTGACCGGGACGTTGCAACTTCAATAGGTCCAACTCGTACTTCACACTATTTGCCAGATCTTTCTCGACCCTCTGCGGAGTCATGTGTTGATGTGGGTCTGATCTACTTTGCGGCCCCGAGGGTTGCCTGAGCCAGCTGGAAGCACCAACCACTGTGCCTATATGCTGAATGCTCAAAATGCCCAGCTTGGACGTGTGAAACTTTCTCGGCTTGACATTTATGTTGCATTGGGGCTCAAGAGCTGAGGCTCGACAATCTTGGATTGAAAGATTATGCTTGGAGCAGTCGGATGCAAACACCTGAAGCTTGTAGGTGCAATGTGCGCCCGAAGCTTCAGTGCCTTGCGCCCGGCCAAGCTCGATCAATGGGGCCTTGCAGGAATGAATGAGTTGGAGACGGAAAACCCGTCACAATTTTACCAGCCAAGTGGATTTGGCCAGGAAAACCCGTCACGTTTCAGACGCGTCAGACTTTCCAGCTCACTCCGAACTTCAAATCGTGATTTTCCAAAACGTATGAAATTGTGATGGGTTTTTTGAAAAGCCAATTGCTTTTCTGGGGCCAGTCAAGCTTCCAGATTGTGATGGGCTTTCTGGCCAACCCCTCAGCCAAATGGATTTGGCCACCAAAAATGTGATGTTAAACAATAACTGTCGCAATTTGACCAGCCAAATCCAGCCGGGAAAACCCGTCACAATTTGACCTGCCAAATCCATTTGGCCAGGAAACCCGTCAAATTTTTAACCAGCCAAATCTTTTTGGTCAGGAAAACCTCGAACACTTGTTATACCTAACGCTTTTCACTTGGAGTAAGTGTTGCAAAACCTATGTGGCATATATGCCACATAGGTTTTGCTATACAGGACTTGTCACGGTTTTACGGTTAAATTGTGTGGGTTCAGTAAGGACACCTCAGTTTCCAACAAAGACCAAATGGTAGAAGGGCCGGGGTTTTGAGCTGGGTGCGCTTAACCTTAGTAGGCTATTGACTGCCAGCTAGCTGGCAGCCAGTGTGCCAGTTTACTGGCAGCCACAACCTGTTTGAGTTTGTGATGTGTGCTTGTTGAAGCCTTAAGCTTCTTGAGGGGCTTTAGGAAGAGGTGAGAGTTGTTCGAGTAAAACCGTCGCGTCCGCTGAAGGTTTCCTTGTGAGGCTTTCGTAATTCTTTCAACCGCGGCTTGTTGAGGCGATGTGGTAGCGGGGGGACAATATCGCGTCACGTAGAAGATTAAAGTGAAAAATAGCTTAAACGAAGATTCAACCTTTTGACCTGCTGGCTTGGTTGCATATGCGCATGGAGCCTGGTAATTGAATTTGGTGCTATAAGCTATCATTATGGTTTTGATTGGGATGCACGTGTTGCGTGCAAGTGCTGATTGTTTGCAAATTGCAGCGAATGCTGCGAGTCCCTGGAAAAAGCTGCCAGCTTGTGCTTTGGAGTTTACCGGACGGGTAGAAATTTGGACACCCACCTGCTATTTGGAGGGCACCCAGCTCTGGTTAGATGAGCCTATATGTATAGTACTTATTATATTTAAATCTAGTTTGCAGATGCAACACACATCACACCCATAATCATATGCCAGATCCAATATGTGCCAGCCGCTCATCAGATAAGTCCACTAGCACCGGATATTCGCTCTTTCGGTGGTTGTTGGCGGTTCCCATGACTCCATGACTCTTCAGGCAAACCCGTATGTAGACTGTTGATGATTAAGCGCCCCTCAATCGGGGTTGCACAATCTCTCCATATGCGGGTGTTATGGGGTGTTGATTTCTCAGCAGTTTACCGGCTCTTTCTACGGCCTTTGTTTGTCAGCTTGCACGTGCTCAGGTGTTCAACGCATGTCCGGAGACTTGCACGGCTCGCGTAGCCCTGCTTGAGGAGTGGGGTTTTGTTCGTTTAGCTCTCTTTTATGGCTGGTGGAGTTGGAATCAGAAGTGGTTTTATGATTGAGTGGTCACAGAGCCCTTTCGATTGTGGGAATGGTCAACATGAACAACCACCAAGGATCATTGGGGGACAGATGCGAATGGCGGTGCATCACTACTTACTACCATTCCCAGGTACTTGATGTGGGAAGCAGTTACCCGAGTTACCCTCAACCATTCCTTTGACCAATGCTTAAGATTTCCAGACATACATGACAGATGGTAAGGATAGACAGCCTGCCGGCAGTCCTGCTTCTCGGACACCTGACGGCTTAAAGGCGTTAAAGGGCTGGATGGATGGCCACAGCATGCTATGCCCATAGCATGCTATGCCATGCTCGCTGGTGAGCACTCACTCTTTGCCTTGCCGCATCATAGGCCCAGAGAGTGCCAATTGGTGGCTAGAACTAGAACCACCCCAATCAAACAGGGTTCAAAGTTCGAATCACAACCATTTTTGAGGAGTTAAATTAATTTCCATGGTCATTTTTGGCCACCGCTTCCATGGATTCCACCAGATTAGGGCATTTTCCAGTGGTTGCTCTACAGAGAATTTCTCAACAACAGCACATGAGCCGATCGGGGTTCATCATCGATCCTCGAAACCCAGGAGATCTCCTCCACCTGCCTCACCGAGTTGACGCAAGCGCCCGGTGGTTTCTGGGGGTCAAAAAAGGAGAAGAAGCGTTGATTCGGTGCTTTGGAAAGGCAGTAGCG